AGGACACTACTAATATGTGTTTGGTTTTCGAATCTGAGCCTTCCATCCTTCCGAGGTGGGTAAAATGAGAACCCGGATTGTTGTTGGGGGCAATATGCTGACTCTGTAAACCGCTTAGAGAGGGCTGATAGTCGTATGAAGCAGTATATAAGTCTAACTGCTATTGCTATTGCTATTGCTATTCTCTTGTTTTTTCCCAAACCCAAGGATTTAAGAATCTCAGAAAGAGTGGAAACCTCAATTCCTGGCCATTGACAACTGTCAATTCTCCATTATCCATTCCTGACCATTGACAACTGTCAATTTCTTTCATCCGTTCTTAACCATTGACAACTGTCAATCCTCCGTCATCCATTCCTGGTCATTGACAACTGTCAATCCTCCATCATCCATTCCTGGCCATCGACACCTGTCAATTTCTGTCATTTGTTCTTAACCATTGACAAGTGTCAATTCTCCATCTTCCATTCCTGGCCATTGACAACTGCCAATTCTCTATCATCCATTCTTAGCCGTTGACAGCAATCAATCCTCCGTCATCCATTCCTGGCCATCGACAACTGTCAATTTCTGTCATCCGTTCTTAACCACTGACAGCAGTCCATTCTCCATCATCCATTATTAGCCATTGACAGCAATCAATTCTACACTATCCATTCCTGACCATTGACCAGAGTCAAAGTTCCATAATCCAGTCCTGCTGTTCACAAAAATAATTATCTGGAGGGAAGACGTGAATGGCTTAGTACAGGAAGGTGTCCATAATTTCCCTAATTTGAGTTAGGAAGTGAAGGTGAAGAGTTTGAATTGATGAATGAGTCCCTTTTTCCTCCCAGCTAAACCTGGCCAAAAGGTTGACTATCCACACATTCTACCCTACAGGGATTAGCTCAATCGTAGTAAGACTGAGTAACTCTTGGTTTTAGGTTTCCTTCATCCCGTTATTTTCCCCCTTTAATTTTGGATAGGGTTGTGCTATTCCAGACAAAACTGCTGCATAATTTAGGGGTCCTCCTAAACTCACAGCTCCTGTTGAAGGAGCAGGTGGCAGCTGTGGCCAGGATAACTTCTGCCCAACTGCATTCTGTGTGCCAGTTGTGTCTCTTCTTAAACCAGAAGGCACTAATCGTTGTCACTCATACTTTGATCACCTCCTAAGTGGATTACTGCAATGTTGTTTTGGAAACTAAATTGACCCTATCTTCTTTGGTGCAGCCCCTTAGTTATTGGAATCTCATCTCTAGCCTACCTAGCCTAACCTATCTATTCATCATATCACCTATTCATCCTCCTCGCTCATCTATATCTATCTATCTATCTATCTATCTATCTATCTATCTATCTATCTATCTATCTATCTATCTATCTATCTATCTATCTACTATCATATCTTTTCTCTCATTATCTATTCATTCTCTTTCTCTCTCATCCATCTATCTCTCATCATATCTCTCTCATCATCTATTCACTTTCTCTCTTTCTATCAATTATCATTCTCTCATCTCTCTCTCTATCTGTCTCGGTCTCTCTCTGTCTCTCATCATCTCTCTCTTATCTATCTATCTATCTATCTATCTATCTATCTATCTATCTATCTTCATCTCTCTCTCTCATCATTTATACATTTTCTCTCTCATCATCTATTCACT